ACTGCTTCAACAAGGTACTTTCTAATAGTGAGTAAGGGCTCCCAGTAGGGATGGGGGCTCCCTCCCATGGGGAGTTCTCACTCACAGGGTGGCACTTCCCGGGCTGCTCCCAGGCAGACCCGGAGCACTGGGGTTCTGTTCCTGGGAGCCGTGGAAACCCCTCCACAGGAGGCTTTGGCACAAGGACTGTTGCCCACCTGCTGCTGCTTCCTTGGAACTGTGCTGGGGTCTGAGCCCTTCCTTCCCCTTCTTTCACCAGTCAGATGGGCAGCGGGCTCGCCACCTCCTCCTGCCCTCCCTTGTCTTGGGTGGCAGCCCCCAGTGGCTCTCTTATACGTGGAATTTCTTCTTGGCCTTGGCTTCTTGAAAGGATTGAACCGACAGAGCCTGTTAGAATAAAATATGAATATTTAAAAAGGGCCTCGTGGTAGGGACTGAAAAATGGGCTCTGGTTGGAGGACATCTGCCCCCTGCCCATTTCCAGAGTTTACTAGCGGAGGCTGCTCCGAGCTGCTTCCCTGTGGTATGGTAACTGCACCCTAACACAAGCCTTTCTGTTCCTTCTCCCTCCCTCCTCCCTCCCTTCCTTTTTCCCCCCCTTCCTCCCCCACCCCTCACTGTGATTCATAATTTGCTTCCAGATACTTTCCCTGCAGGGTCACCAGCTCCCTACCCCGTGCCCTGAATATCTTTGCTCCATTTCAGCTGCCTTTACAACCCCGTCACAGCCAAGTCCAGAGAACATCTGTGGAAATCTTAGCTGGAGAATCAGGACTGGGTGTTGCTCAATATGTAGAAAAAATGTAGCATTTCCTTCTCCAAAGAACTCAATCCACATGGCCATGGGTCCGTCAGCACCACTGAGCCCTGGCAAGGGCAGGTGCTGGGGATCCCCACCCAGATCTGCCCTCCTGCCCCCTGAACCCTTCCCATCTGGGGGTTACCCCACACAGACATCACGCTCCCCCTGCTTCCAAGCCTTCAGCTGTGTGAGGCCCCCATGCTGGGGAAGGGGTGCCGATAGTCCAGGGCCATGCCAGGAGAGGCCAGGCAGGGTCAGACTCAGCAAGAGGCCTGGTATGCGGGGAGCTCCGGGCTCTCAGGGGGCTGCAGAAGCTGCAGCAGCCAGGGGCACCCAGGGCGAGCCTCACCCACTGCCCACCTGAACCTCCAGGCTAGGTCTGCCACTCTGTTGCTTTCCTTTGCTGCTGCCGAGGCAAGGCCTGGGCAAGGACACCATGCCCAGCTCTGCCAGTGGCTCTGAGTGCCTGATCATGCCAGTGCCTCACACTGAAGAGTCCCCCACCCTTGCACTCCCTGCCCCGGAAGCACAGGGTGGCAGGGTGTGCACACGGC